AGTCTTCTCGACAGTCTTTAGTGCTTATACAGTCTTCTCGACAGTCTTTACTGCTTATACAGTCTTCTCGACAGTCTTTAGTGCTTATATCGTCTTCTCAGCAGTCTTTAGTGCTTATACAGTCTTCTCGACAGTCTTTGCTGCTCTATAGTCTTCAGAAAGAAGGGAGCCTAGTGACTCTGGTCAGTTTCAGGGACTTCCTGAAGCTATTTTAAGTTTACTTTGCAAGCTTCCTCACAGGATGGAGAGTCTCACCTCTTTATAAACATGCTGTCCTAAAATATCCTGTTGAGTTCTCTTTTACATCCTATGTCTTGAGAAGTTTGCCTCCAAGCTGGGAGAGTTTCACCTCAGAGGAAACTGCTACAAAGCATCCCAGCACCCATCTCAATTAAGCTTTCTAGATTCCTCAATTCCTGCCCTTTGAGTTTTGTATTTTATCACCTTAATTTTTCTCTACATCCTCCTTCCTTGGTCTGGGAACTCATTTGGTTCATTATTTTGGCATTTTGAGAAAAGGTCTCACTGCACAATCAGTCGGCCTCAAACTCAATCTTTTTGCCTTACCTCCTGAACACTGAGATCGCCAGTGGATCGTAACACCTGGCATCTAAGGGGATGTGTGTAAGTGTCACAGCTGTGGGGGAGGTCAGGTTCCCTAACGGAGGAGTGTCGCAGCTCCGAGGGGAAAGGCTTCCGCAGTGGAGGTGTCGCAACTCTGAAGGGAACGGTATCCTGGCAGTCAGAAGTCACACAACAAACATCACACAAGAAATTACTGGGAAAGACACAGAGCAGCGCCCTCTGCTTGGGTGAGCAGCAGCAGGGAACTGGGCAGGACAGACTTACCTAGGGTTTCTTAGGGGAGAAATGGGCCAGGGTGGAGATTTCCAGGGTCGGGATTGGTGAGATTTCAAACCCAGCCCAGAGATTGGTGGGTTTTGGGGCTCAGGGATTGGTGGGGTTTGGTGGGTTTTCAAACCCGGAAGTAGACTTGGACCTTTTACCTACAATGTGGACCTAGCAGAGAACCTGGGCCTAAATAAGTCTGCAGCTCCACAAGGTGGGGGCCATGCCCCCGCCACCTCTGCCAGGCATGCCAGGTTCACTGACAGAGTCGCTGCCGTGTTGGGAACCACCTCAGGATCTGTGCTGCCACTGTCTTGGCTTTCCAGAATTTTGTCAACACAATTTGGTTCATAATTTTTCCACTTACATACACCAGCAGGCAGAAGTAGGAACTTACTCAGAGCTAGCAATCTGAAAGACAGCGGATTAACATCTAGAGATCTGCTCTGCATCTCATTGCCAGCTGGCGGATTATATATAAGGAGGGGGAGGGAACAAAGGCTGTCAATCACTATGGGGCTCAGGCCTGCTCAGGGTCGGGTGGTCAGTCCCGTTTCCGAGAGTCGTGATACCTATTCTCTCGTCACCCTCCTCTTCCTTCCCTCCTTCTGCAGATGCTCTCTGTCCCCTGTCAGGTTCATTGGCCCGAGTCCACACTTCCTGCAAAAGTGAGCTGGTTTAATGAGCTGATCTATCCCTGACTTATTTGGGGAGGGGGGAGGGGGGCAGTAAGTGGTTTCCACATCAACTCTGCACCTGGTTGCCGGGCCCCAAGCCAGGGGAGCACACATGAGCCATGAAGTTGCTTCTAACACCTGCCTTTCTGCCTCAGCCTCCCCCACACCACCTGCCAGCTGCAAAATCAGTGCTGACAACAGGTAACAGAGACCCAGGCACAGGGCCAGGACCACAGCCCTGCAGTGTGTGCACAGGACAGCTTCCGGGCAGGAGGCGGAGGCTAACACTCAGTTGTGATGGAGGAGAGATGGGGAGGATAAAGCTGGACTCAGCCTTAAGGCACCTTGCCAAACAGCACCCTACATAAGCCGGGACCTTTTTCAGTAAAAGTAAAAGAAACCACACAAGCAAACAGGCAGTTCTGCTAGGTTCTTGGGACTGCTGTAACGCTTACCAGTCTTGGCAGTTTTTAAAAAGAGTTTGTTCTCACCGTTCTGGCCGAGTTGTACCCCTCTGGAAGCTCTTGAGATCCAGGCTCTGCCTCCTTTAAGTTGCAGTGACTCTGGGCATCACATCCCTCACCTAAGACTGAGGCCCTCCAAGGTCTGCTTGTCCTTGAACTACCTCCCTCTGCACTGATTCTATAAAGGAGGCATAAGATTGTGTTTAGGGCCTGCTGGGTGACCCTCCTCAAGATCTATAGGAAACCACACCTTTACTATGTAAATGGACTCTTTGGCTCTAGTGTGGGATACATTTGCAGGTGCTTGGCCTTAGGACAGGGACCACCAGCAGCTGTGGAACTTCACTATTATCATTTCATCTTCCTACTAGTTTGGAAGGCTTATGTCTACATTTTCTATCCAGAACCGTATTTTTATTTAGAATCATTCCCAGTTCAGTTGGAGTGGGGCGGGCATCGAGACAGGGTTTCTCTGTGTAGCTCTGGCTGTCTTCTGTAAACAAGGCTGGCCTCAAACTCAGAAATCTGCCTGCCTCTGCCTCCCCAGGATTAAAGGCATGCACTACCTCCACCCAGCCTCATTCCCACTTTTTAAAAATGCCTACAGATGTCTCAGTGGCTAAGAGCATTGCAGAGGACCTGGGTTCAATTCCCAGCACCCACATCAAGTGTCTCACAGCCTCTTGGAACTGCAGTTCCAGGTAATCTAATGCCCTCTCCTGGTCTCCATGGGCACCTGCATGCACGTGGTGCACACATGTACACTCAGGCACACACGTAAAATAAAGACTTGGTGTCTACACTCTATTCTAAAATGTCACACAGCAGTGGAGTGGAGCACACTCACACAAGGAAGTCATTTGGCTGGCATCCCTTTCTGTGCCGGAGCCACGTTGTGGTTGTAGGAAGCAGGGCAGAGGTGCTTTCATGATCCCCCGGCCCCAGCACAGCCTGCCTACCCCAGCCACACTGTGCAGGTGTCCCCTTCCATGCCGGTGGGGAAGGATAGTCTCTCCTTTTTATGAAATGAGCAGAGTCTGGACACAGCTTCACTCTTGCCCCGACTCCTTCTTTGGGAAAAACCACCCCTCTTATATCAGGTGACCTGCTGGCTGTGACTTTCCTCAGGAAAAGGCCCATGACCCCACTGGGCCATCAGAGCATCATTCATGGATGCTGGGAAGAACAATGCCTTTTCTCTGCTGAGATGCTAAGACAGCATGAAGCTTAAACATGCAGGCAGCCAAGCCTATCCCTCAGGGGGCCTTTCCTTGCTACTGAGCAGCCATGTGAAGACTAGCCATCTCGAGATTCTCTGAACGCTGGAGACAGATGTGTCTGAAAGCCAGTTTGCTCAGGCATTGGCTCAACCCAGTCTGAGCTGTCTACAGGTCAGGAGGGGCCTGCCGAGAGCCAGGAGCAAACACCAGCTGTGAGTGTGCCGAGCAGTTACAACACCTGCACTCGGTCTCAGTAGGTAGCTGCTGTTCCAGAAACAGGTATATTATTCTCAGGTATGCAGACTCACGAGTAGTTCTGGGGGCATCCGAGGCCACACGGGTCTCCCCGTTTCCAGGACAGATGACAGGACAAGGTTGGTCTCAGTGCACATGGGTTTATTGAGCTGCTGTGCTGGGGGAACCATAGGGGGCGAGGCTGTGCAGCCAGTGGAGGCCAAGTGGGAGGGGCCTGAGTCTCCCCTTTTAATGCCCACACGGCAGCTTGTCATATGCCATTGCTAGTCCTGGGGCACGGGTAGGGTTTAGCGGTGAGTAATGGCTGCCTGGGAGGGTATTCAGGTTGCAGTGCTAACTGGAAGGAGTCTTGCCTGTCGGTCTGTCCATGTGATCTCCTGAGTGCCTTGTCTGCTCGGAAGAGGGCAGTTCCAAATTCTAGGAGTGGGGGTAGTCTCTGCCCGGCTCTCTGAGCGCCGGGGGTCCAGTGAGGCCTCATCTACAGGTGACCATCTCAAGGATGGAGAAGAAAAGAGCCAGGACACCTCCTGGCAGGAACCAGGGGCTTTTCAGTCGGACACTAGCCTCCAGCCCTCCACCCGGGGGGACAGGCACACAGGTGTATGAGACCCGAGGACAAGGAAGTTTCATTCCAGTGAGCAGTAGGCCTGAGACATGGCGGTCAGCTGTGTTGCCCATGGTCCGACTTCCTCATCAGAGCAGGGCCTGGAGAGCCAAGGCAGTGAGTATGGACAGCAGGGACACCTAGGGGTGAGGACCAAATGGGGGCTGCTTCTGCCTCCATCTCTTCTCAAGGCACCCATGCCCCCACCTTGACTGGTAAGGACAGTATTGGAGGGAACAGTGCACAAACTGCCAACTCCTCATCCTCTCCCCGCACCTACCTGTGGGCAATGATGCCCAGTGTTCTGGTAGGGGTTCAGCCCGTCCTGCAGAATCGAGGGCCACAAGGTGTTAAAGGCTTGCATGGCACCATCTGTGGAGCGGAGACATCCAGAGAAGGCTTGGCCAGGGAGCCCTAGGAAAGGGGCCCCCTCCTTTGGGACAAACTGAGACACTCCCTGGGACCTGCAAGGCATGGCCCGAGGTGGGAGGTGCATATTACAGTGCGGCTGTGCTAAGCGTGACCCACACACTGCTAGTCTTCATCCTCACGGGAGAGGTTGACAGATGCCACCCCCACTTCACAGGTGAACACAACCAGGATTAATAAGAGTTTAACTCTCAGCTACTAAGTGGCAGAGACCAGCTTCAAACAGACCCCCCAGAACTCTGAGGCAAGAAGGGCAGCAAGAGTGAGGAGCACGTCAAGGAGAGAGCCAGAGTGGGAGTCTCAGCCAATTCCAGGCCCTCGGGCACGTTTCAACTCATCCCTTCCAGCCCCTAGAGGTCCTTGACACTTCTAGAATTCTCTTGCGATCGGAACAGCAGCTACTCAAGTTTCCTTCCATCAAAAATGGGCTCACATCAGCCAGCAAGGTGGCTCAGCAGGTAAAGGCACTTGCCACCAAAGCTGAAGAACCTAGTTCTATCCCGGGGACCACGCGGTGATCGGAGGGACTCTTACAAGTTGTCCTCTGACTTCCGTCCATAAGGCGTCTGCACACCGCCCCTCGCCCACGCCAAATAAATAAAGGCAACCTACACATTTCAAGGGCTCCCACGGGCCAGGCGGCTTGGACCGGGCCTTAGACATCCGTGGCTCCCGGCTCTCCAGCCCCTCCCTCACCCAAGCACCCTCACCCAAGCAGGGGTTCCTTGTAAAGAGCTGGCGGAAGGCTTCGCACTCTTCCAACCGGTTTCCGCTGTCCCCGCAGCCGCACCAGGGCGCGACGCGCGCGCTCACGTTGTCCAGGTAGTTGGGGGTGACCGCGGTGCCTGCAAGGGGACCCCAGGGCGTGTGGTGGGCTCCCCGAGTTCGCCCTGACCGCCCGCTCGGGGGGTCCCCCCGCCCGGCCGGCCCCGC